AGAACCAGTAGCAGAAATTTTGAGTAGTTCGGAGAAGCGGTAAATACCACCTCTGACTGGCCCTGCCCCATCTACTCTCTGCCTCCCGAGTCCCAGCTGATCAGGAGAAAATGGGGATTTTGCAGTAGCCTTTCTCCGGAGTGGGGTGGGAATGAAGATTTTACAGTATCCTTCCCCTGCTACGCCCACCAAGCCACACCCACAGAACTGGCAGTAAAAAAATTTGAATCCCACTACTGGGGTGTGTGTGTGTGTGTGTGTGTGTGTTTGTTAATAGGTAGTCATTCAATTACAAATTTAGAAAGGAGTTGTCCTCCGTCTGATGCCCTCCTCATGTTGGAGTCTGGAATTCTCATCCTATCCAACCACTGGAATCCTGAGAAGAAGTTGTCACTAGAAACATCAAAACTGTTTTGAGTGAGGCTGTTCTGAAATTTCATAGACCTGCCTTTTGATTTGTTGCACTCTCTTTTATTTGTAATCCTCCTGATTTCCCGGCACCATTTTTCTCTCTAGGGAGAAAAAAAAAACTTCAAAAAGGAAGAGATGAAATAGAAGCTCTCAGTCGGGGAAGGAGAGCATCAGACTGAGGAAGGTTGCAAAGCATCATAATTCATACTTCTCTAGGAATATGTAGCTATTAATGGATCAAACTCATACTAGCCATTATTCCCGAATATCATAGATTTGAAAAAGATAAAGCTTCAGAATCAGTTATAACCTGAAAATCCTAACCAGGATTTGACTTGTGAAAGATCTGCATTAATGAGTCATTTCTACAACCTGTCAAGGCTGACAGGGCCAGGCAATTTTTTTACTGACAAAGATTTCTCGTGATATTCTTAGAGAGGAGAGATGTGGACCATAAGGCAAGTATGGCTAATGTTTCAGGAAGAATGTCGAAGATTTTATTTGCTTTTTTAAATGCTTAATTTTGCAGCTGTCCCAAAATGTGTGGTAAAGTGAGTCAGACCACAGACCTGGTCTAAGAGAAATGTGAGAGCTGCAGGTAGGTCTTTTGGCCATTACTGCCCACCTGTCCTGCAGGATACATATACCTGCTATCGTATTTACTTCCTGCTCCCATATTTCAAAAGAATTGTCTAAAACATTCAAATTTATTATTGAGACAAATATGGACTAAAGTGTCCTCTTTTTACAGGGAGGAGGTGTCTAGACATTTCCTTCTAGAATGCCTTTCTAGTCAGATGAGTCATGTAATAATCACCCCCATGTTTTTTAGCTGTCAGAAAGAACCAATAAGAGGCAAATCAAGACAGATCACTCAAGTTATTAAAAACAATGAATATAAAAGCGTCTGTCAATAATGACCATTAGGAGAGTTAGACAACTGCAGCACTCTGCCTTCAGCTATGCTCAGATATATTCCTAGTTTTCTCTCTTCTTGGGATTACAGAGGTACGTACACAAACTTCATAGCCTGAGCAATAAAACCTAAACATTCTTACTGGGATTAAGACACAGTCATCATATACCGTATATGTAGTATATGGGTCAGATTTATAATCCAGGTTATGTACGCTTTATGCTAAAAGTATTTGCATTCCAAGGAAACTGAAGTACTCTGGCAATACAATATTTATGCATATATATTTATTTTTAAAAAGTCTTTGCCTGCATAGTTTGAATCATCATCTTTCAATTCAAAGAAGCTGCAGTGGTGCTGAGGGAGAAACTAAAATAAATGGACACCAGGCAAAGAAATGAGTACTAAGAGCAATTTTCAGCATCTTTCATGCCTCTTACAGAAATGCTAATTTCTTTCATTGTAACCATGAGGCCTGGAAACTTAATAATTTAAGTAGCTCATCCATGCACTGAGCAATTGCAGTAGAGTCCAGAATGATTTCTTATAAGAATTCCTCAAGTACCAGTTAATAGAAGTGCCTCCCTTTCCCTCTCTCTCTCTCCCCTCTCTCCCTTTCCCTCTCTCTTTCTCTCTCTCTTCTCTCCCTCCCTTTCTCTCTTTGTCTCCCCTCCCTCCCTTTCCCCCCTCTCTCCCTTTCTCTCTCCCTTTCTCTCTCTCTCTGTCTCTCATTTGATCAATATTTATGTAAAATTCAAAATATTTTGGCTATTTTCTGCAACAGTGTTGCAGTAGAGCTGCCAGCCAAGAGTTATTCAGGGGTTACAGATCACTCCAGTAAATGTCCCATCTGTTCACCTTGTTCCCAGCCCAAAAAGATTGCTGCAAATGACCAGGGAATAAAAAGGCACCAGCCTTCCCTCTTGCAGAGAACATATTATTAGCACAGCACTAGGCAGCTCCCAATACTGTCAGGAAACAAAAATGCTTCATACCTTTTTGTTGACTTAGCTCTAGCTTTTCCGTTGGGCTTGGTAATATCTCACTTAGCAACCTCAGCAAATCTGATCAGACTTCATAGGTAGCCCAATTATGAATGCAGCATTCAAACGGCAAAATGCCATGGGAAATGCCTCAGTGCAATTATACAAGGTAAAGTGTTAATCCAGGATAGAATGATAACTGCTGGGTAAAAATAAGTTCCGCTTGAAAACCCTTGATGGTAAATGAATAAATGTTCAAGCCGTGTCAGTCAAAAGAAGTGTTAGCAGAGAAAAC